TAGTGTTTGAGCACACTGAGGCAAAACACGTCTTAAACAAATTATATGCTTATTAAAATCCACTTCCCGATAAGCTTTTATAGCCTTCCAGTATGTCCATTTGTGATTTTTTATACCAGCAGACCTTGATTTTAGATTTCTATACAAATGAACACCACAAAGTCCATGAAAAGCATATGGGAAACACCTTCTAACATCGTTGTCAATTGAGTTTCCCTATCAGATATGATTGTCAGATTGCTAATAGAACCTATGCAATCCCTAAGATGCCCCATAAACCATGTCCATGAATCAAAGGTTTCAGATTTGCCAACCCCGTAAGGTATTGGCAATATCCCATTGTTAGCATCCATGACTACTGCTAATAAGTTTACTCCAAGGTATCGATCTTTCAAATGTGCTTTGTCAACTATAATACTGGGCGCATGTAAGTAATAAACGAACGAATCTACAAAATAATATACACAAGAAATATAATCATTTAAATGTGAAATGCATGTAACTAACAAAAATGAGTCAACAAAATTATATTGATTTACTAACCGCAGCACCAATGGCGATAAACAGCTACTCAAAGCGTCCATCTCTATCTGTTTTGATATGAGTTACCGACCCAGGATTTTTCAGCTTTAAATTGTGACAATAAGCCGGCAGTTGGGCAAATGATGCTTCTGGCGACCCCCTCAACAATTCCAAGGCATAACATTTGGCTCTCCAAGCTTAAGAATATGAGATACTAATCTTGAACCGAGCATTCATGTCAGTCATAATTTCATGTCCTCGATATACCCTGCCATTCAAAAACATTAACTCAGCCAGAAAACCACCCAACACCTTTTTGTTTGCCTGTCTATTGTGAGGAAAAACTTGGGTTCTTGAACATGTATGTTTATCAATAAAAGTCCTAACTTGAAATATTTCGCAATCTTTTATCCTCTTTGCAATCATACGCCACGTACAGTTTTTTTCAATCATACACCTTGTTTCGAAATGATCTTTGCTTGATTTGTTAACTTTTAGTTGATAGCCATCTTCCACACATTTCGTATAAAAAGCTATCTTCAAGTCTTCCTTTGTATCAAAACAATCATCTTTCTTGATACGAATAATTTTTGTGTAACAATCAACTGCTATCTTTACCAACTCTTCATTTGTTAACTTTTAGTTTATAGCCATCCTCCTCATTATCATCAACAACATCTTCCTCGGCAGCGGCTATTTCATCATCAAAATTCGGGTATTGACCAATATCAAAATCATTACACGCATGGTCTATTTCTTCTTCTGAAATATCATCAAAATCCGAGTATTGACCAAGATCAAAGTCTGGGTATTGACCAAGATCAAATTTCGAATACTGACTAGTACTCACAATTTTTTTTGTTGGCTCATCATCGTCTAACTGGTTAATACAAAAACTGGAATTTGGTGCTGAAAGTTGATTGGGATTTGGATTAGGGAAAGGTTGTGGGTTTTGAGATTGTGTTTGGTATTGGAAATGTGGTGAAACAAAATTTGCTTGGTGATGAAATTGTGGTGGAACCATTAAATTTTGAGCACCATAAACTGGGGTTGAAAAACTTAGTTGATTACTACCTGCTACTGACCCAACTTCACTACACTTCTAGGTTCAACAACATACAATGTAACATCATCTTGCGAAACACTAATGTAAGCAATGAATTGTTCAACATCTTCAATGTCGGTTAACAAATAAACTTTACATTTTCTCTGATAAGATAGCCTAAATCCACTTAGGGGCTCTAAATTCAATTTATTTGCAACACGTAACATTAGAGTTTCATAAGTTAACTTTTTTAATGACAGTTTTAGTTGAAGATTCATGGGTAAAGACATATATTGTAAAACACCATGAACATTCTCCCATGACCCTCCAAAACACAAATCTATCCAAACATGATCAACATTAGATGATTTCATTATTGTAAATTAATTTACTAAACAAACGAGCTGCGAAACTAAAACCTGTTGCCGGATGGGGAAGGATGTCGTTGGATATAGGAATGGATGTCGTCGGAGAGAGTGATAGATGGAGATGGAATGAGTTGCGATTTAGGGATTTAGGTTATGAATTATTGCTGCTGCGTAGTTATATACCCAAAACATTTGTGTTGCGAAACTAAAACCTGTTGCGAATTTGAAATTCAGTGTTGCGACAGTCAGAATCGCGTTGCGATAGTCAGAATCGTGTTGCGATAGTCAGAATCGAGTTGCGATTATGTATTATCTCGTTGCAATAGTCAGAATCGCGATGCGATTATGTATTATCGCGTTGCGATTTACATATTCGCATTGCGATTTTCTAAAATCGCAACGCGAATTTGGAAAATCGCAATGCGATAGTCAAAATCGCGTTGCGAATCTGGAAACTGATTTGCGATACTAGAGATCGCGTTGCGATTTAGAGATCGCATTGCGATTTTGTTGGTCATTTTGGCAAATCGAAAAAAAAGTTGGTCAAAATCGTATATTATAAGGAATTTTCTGTCACTGAGGTTATTTTCTCTTCTAAATTTTCCTTTTCATTGTTTTATTGAAACTTAGAAGACTATGCTTAATAGGGATGGCAAACAGGCGGGTTGGGTGCGGATGCCCCTTCCCTTATCCCCAGACCTACCTAATATTTTCAAATCCACCACCCGCCAACCACCCATGATGGGTAACATTTTTCAAATCCACACCCGCCCACACAGGTACATTCTCAAATCCATCTCCACACCCACTACCCAACTGGAGACGTATCTGGCTAGACCCGCCTGACAGCAACCTTAAGTTATACATAAGCAACAAACATAAAACAACCACGTCCACTAAGAAGCATAATAAAATAAACCAAAGATTATCTGAGTTAAGTGTTAACATAGATCTTAAAGTACATAAAACACCATAATAAAAGACATAATTAAAGCCTAGAAACATAAATGAAAAACACATAATATTTTTGTTCTTTGGCACAACATTCTCAAATTTCAGGCAATAATTGTGACATCTGTTACTCCAGTATTACAATCATCATTCTCTATATCCTCCAATTAAGAGCGCTCCAATTTAAATTCACTACTACCTACATATATAATAGAAGGCAAAACTAATATAAGTTAGTAACTGAACTTTAATAAGATAATTAAGTACAATTTGACAACTAAAACAAACTAAATAATAATATTACCTTTAATATCGGCCCAAAGCTAATATAATTCAATAACTAAACTTTTAATAAGATAATTAAGCACAATTTAACAATATTAAGATTTATAAATTAGTCTCTAAAATTATACCTAAATTCATAATGGACCAAAACTTAATGGGTATTTAGTGGGAGGGCGGATGCGGGGCAGGTAAGGTTTTACACCCATCACCCGCCCACTACCCGCGACGGGTACCACTTTCTAAATCCACACCCGCCCACTACCCACTGATGTTATATCCATCTCCGCCCCAATTGGAGCAAGTACGATGCAGAATCCACGAAATTGTACCCATTTGTCATCCCTAATGCTTAACGTTTCTTCACTTGTTCCATCGCCACAAGCATTTTTAGGTGATGCCATATATATATATATATATATATATATATATATATATATATTTGTTGGGTTGTATTGAAATCAGGATATGTAAATTATCTCAGTTTCAAGTCATTTTAGGAACTAATACAAGTAAGATTTGGGATGTGTTGTACTTCCCTTGAATCCGTGCCTGCACCTTGGTCCGGTTTATTCCTTACATAGGGATTGTTGGGTTTAGCTCGGGTTTATTTTTGAGCCGTTTGAACCTGACCCGATTTGTTATATACCAAATCCTATTCTGACCTAACCGGACCGATTTTGAAGATATCAAAGTAACGAATGTTAATAATATTAAATATTAACTTTAATTTCTATGTAAAACACTTATCTATATCATAATAATTATTAATAAGTATACATTATAAAACTTATTCCGTTTGTGATGGTTTTATTCCGTTTCTTATGATGAATGAGATGGAGGTGGGTAGCACAGCCATAAAAGAGCTTATTGAGTAAATACATGAAAAAAGAAGTGGATTACGAGAAAGGAGGGAGAAGGATATAAACCTTCCTTTGTTTTTCCTTTAAACCTGAATTGATTTATAGCACCCTCAAGTGTCGAAGCTTTATAGTTTCTCGTATGAATTGCTTTTTATATACATATATAGAATAGCTGCTTCAGATGGTGCCATGACATAATATAATTTATTTTTGTAGCTAATTTGTATTCCTTTTGGCTTATGTGCTTATTTTTATATTAATATTGAACGGGTTGTGTTCCTTCTATAGGCTTCTCTTATACCATTGGGGGAAGACAAGTCTACATCAAATAGCAGCATTATACATGGAGGAAGTATGTGCCTTAATATAAGCTTTTTTATGTGCTCTAGATTTTTTGCGGCCTTATACAAAAAACTCCACTATATACGTAGTCAATAGTTGCGTTCTACATTCACAAACACTGCTAAATGACATACATTTAGTGACGTTTTTGGGAACAAATGTCACTATATGTCATCATATTTAGCGGCGTTGTAAAAAATGCCACTAAAAAATATAATCTTTAGTGGCGTTTGTGAGTGACAAACACTGCTACCGTTCCGTAAATTGCGATTAAAAACTGAATAACGAATTCAATGAGTGATCTTAATGATTAGAGAGAGTGTTATTTTTATTTGAGATTTTAAATTTAAACACTTACATTTGTATGATGTTTGTATGAGTCTTATTAACTTATAATTATCCAAACTATTAAAAACATATATTCAAAATTGTTTGTGGGTTAGAAATGAAAATAGAACACCGCAAACCTTTTGGAAAAAGTGAAATATTAGTATTTAAACCTTGATTTAAGGTAAACAATTTCTTACAAATTACAACCACAGGCAAAGACAAGCTCCCATGATTTCAGACAAACATTTTCCAGATTCCATGGAAAACATCATTATTTACCAAGTAGTTTTTAAACAATTACGTAACTTACAACATATTATTCCTAAGATTCGTCGTCGTCTTTATTGTCGAAAATACCTCAAAAATTCTTAAGCAACTTCCGGACCTGTTCCAACGTGACAAAAAGCACCACCGTGAACGGTCCCTGTCTGGAGATCGTAGGTATAAACCCTTTATATAAAGCCATGGGCCCTTCCCCTTTCACCGTCTTCACAGCACAATCCAAAGCACCGGCGTACGGCGGCTTTTTCCCAGGCTCCACCTTCATGTTCATTACCCTTGTCTTGATCACATCCACGGGATTCGTCATCACTGCCGCCACAAATCCAGCTGAAAAACTCGCCGCCACGTGTGTCCCCAGCCCATCTTTCATCCACCCGTTTGCCAAAATTATTTCTTTGATTTGATCGTAGGAAGCCAACTGCGAAGCCGTCACCAACATCGCACGGTTCACCGTCAGCGATGAACCTCGCCACAGGGAAACAATGCCTTCTTGTTTGCTCATGCGAGTGACAGCGTCGATAACGCTAGTGTAGTTACGGCGTTGAGATGGAGGTAAGCGACCGTCGGCTTGCATGCGAACCATCGCGACGTCGGCTGGGTTCCCGATGGCAGCGCCGATCCCTCCGGCGATTAACCCAGCCGCGATCTTGCTGGCGAGAGGCATGGTTTTGGTCTCCTTATCGGACCATTTATCTTTCAGGATGTCGTAGATCCCCATCCGGGTGGTGGAATAGAGTGTCTGGCGGAGCATGGTGGCAGAGACCCCAGAGAAAAGAGCTGCGACGCCTTCAGTTTTAAAGATCCGGATGCCGGTGGCTATTGGTCCAACACGCGCCGCCGCGGATGGTGGAATGTGGACATCAGTGGAGGTGGAGTGAAAGGCTAAAGAAGGGCGGAGGGTTTGAACGGAGGCGTTAGGAACCTGGGTTTCACCCTGGAGTTGCATACGAACTTTGATTAAATCAAGAGGGTGGGTTGAACATCCAGCCACGATTGATGCAATGCCTCCTTCAACAAAACCTTTGACACCTCCCATTCTATTTCTCTTTAACAAACGCTTATTCTTTTCAACTAAAGAGATGGAAATAAATCAAAAGTGCCGATGTCGACAACAATTGGAAATATCACTTGAAACCGCGAGATGGGAATGAAGATGGAAATTAGCTAATGAACAGGAGTGAGCAACGGTGGGCCTTCCAAACAGATGCCACCAATCTTATAAATATAGCATAACCTAATGGATGGTTGCTTTAACTGCCATATGGGAAACTCTATTTATAGCCCATAATTTCACTAACCAAGCTCATCTATTAAACATTCCTAATTGTGTCCGTGGGATGGTTGCTTTATACTCTAATTTTGTTCTTAGCCACTTCACTATGCTTTTTATTTGGGATTGAACTCTACACTTCAATTTAACATATTTACTCCTATATTTTTATAATGGTTTTAGTAGATCTAGATTTAATTCACATAGTTAAAGTAATGACCCGATTTTATGTTAAACAATCTTAATTATTTTGAATCTTTTATTATACAACCAAAAGGAGTAAACTACATCACTGGTCATTACTAACGTTATCATTAATCATTTAGTTTTAACGGAGATTATAACTTGACATAATATAATAACAATTTTAATTTTTAAAATTCTTATATTCTATTAATTTGATAATAACTCAAAATAATTTAATAAGTTTAACCAATATTTAACAATCCTATTAATTTAGTGTTGATTCAAATAAACACTCCAGTGAAACTATTACTCCTTAAATATTTATTTTTTCAAATGAAATTAAAATATTATAAAAAAAAAGAAAAGAAAGATAAAAAAAATATAAAAAGAAAAGTAAAGAAGGATTGCTTCAAATCGAACCTAAAACTTAATATCAAGTATGATTAAAACAATATTTTATATCATTATACTACAAATTTAATTAGCAACATTTAGAATTTTTATTATTGAAGTAATATAGGATCATAAGTGCACAATATTTTAAGCTTTAATGTATTTGAAATAATTACATCAATTACTATAATTTAATGAAACATCATTAAGAATCAATTTGATTGTTTTATTTTTTTCAGATAACAAGTTTTTAGTTAAAAAATAAAGAAAAAATTTGTGTGTAGGAGTGATTTCATTTTGATTGCATTTTAATTAGGCTTAACCAGAAACTTGCATCAACATTAATAAAATAAAATAAAAAGTCACAAGTCAAACCCATGCCCGTGAAATGATTTGGGGCGGGGCAGTGCAGGCTTTCCACTTTTAAGCTGCTGAGCTGACTCGTGGCCTTTGGGTAGTTCATTTAGGGTTAGGGCCCGATTTATAAAATTGACAAAATTAAAAACACTACGTCGCCCGAGAGATTAGAACTCTCGCGGGAAAATCCAATGTACTTAGCAGGCACACGCCTTAACCACTCGGCCGAAGCCACAATTGATTTAAACTTTAAATAAAGTATCTTTAAATTAAATCTACTTATATATTCTTCTTCACGAACTTTGTTTAACAAAATTGTATTCCACTTCTTTGCTTTGTTATGCATTGCTTGTTCTTGCTTTTCCCACTCCAATACTTGAATCCTATGAATAATACTATTCAAGTTAGGAGGAAAAGAAAAAACGTACAATAATACTTGTTTTCAACTTGCTGGAATTGTAGTTTGTTTGCACCAGATATTGCAGCTCCGAAACTTGCTAACCTTGGAAAGTTTAAATGTTTGAACATCTCTTTTGATTGATATAAACACAAGGGACATTGTCAGATAACCCCATTGTGTTTCTTCACTCATTGTGATCACTGCCTTCTCATCTTGATTCTCCGTTTGTTTTCATTCAAAACTTGATCGTCAGTCTTCACCACATAAACTACCATCCAAAGCTCAATCTCATTTTCCAAATCATTGTAGAACTTGAATTGTGTTGAGCTCATATCCGTGTAATTTCTAGAATTTTACAAGGCAACTAATTTATAAAAATTCTAAGGACGAAAACAGAATTTCAATTGAAAATACAAATAAAATATCTAAAATATATGATAATTTAAAATTTGTAAGAGATACCCGGCCCCACTTTAGTCCATCCCTTCTCAAGCTTTAAGCACTTATTCAACAAAGCGTCTTGCCAAGTTGGCATTCTTCTGGATCTCACATGCTGAATACAAAGTTTTCCATATTATAGCACCTCTTTTCTCTAGCATTGCTCTTAACATAGCTTCTACTTCAAACAGCCAGATCGACTGAGCAAGTATAGTGTTGTACCCTAGCCTTTATTCCATATTTTCCCGTCATCAAGTTAAAAATACTTAAGTCATTTATCTTATAGCCCACCATGACTTCATGCATCAAGCAAGCTCAAGAAAGTAACATCATTTGGCTTCATTATCTGTTTAGACAACTCAACAGCTTCCACTCCTCATCTATGAAGCCCATATGCAACCATCATGGAGCTCCATGACACATGATATCACGAAAACCTTCGATAGAGGCAAACCGCACCTTGAATATAAAATAATATTTCTAGTTCATTTTTTTTTCTTTTACATGAGATTTTGGTAAGTTACGAGGTATTATCAAAGTTAAATTCCAACAAGAACAGATAAAGGAGTACCCAGGAGATTAAAACTATAAAACAATGATTAAATGAAACACACAATGGGAACTGATATATATGTTCGCCATTTACTCCCAAGTCCCAACTATCTTGTGTTATTGCAGATCAGGAGCCGCTTCCTTTTCCTGCACAGGACAGTACCAAATGTGTATATGGAGGAATTTGGAAAGCAAAAACCTAACTTGATTTCCATCATTGCCGTCTGCTTCTAGAAATACAACCCAGGTTCCTGGCTGCTACAGGTGCTATTGACTATCTTGTGCAAGCTTTCTGCTTCCGCTTGGCCAGTACAAAATAAGTATAAGATCCGGTTGCAGCAACAATAAAGACGCCGATCAAAGTGCATACGGTTGTAGCACAAACATACAGGTACCTGGATGAATTAACATTAGATTTACCATAGGCAAAGTAATAGGAAATCCAACTAATCAAATCCTTTGATGTCTTTTCCTTTTAAAATAAAATAGGTTATGCAAGGACAAGAACGCCGGTTATTCATGCCATTTGTCATCATTCACTATTCATGCAAGCACAGGTACATTTCAATCATCTAGGAGGAGCATAGATTTCCAATGACTTCAAACTTACTTGGGTGAGAAAACACTCCAAACGAATAAATGATTCTGCATTAACAGCAATACAACTGTGTATGCGGTCAACAGAATTGAATTTATGACCAGTGGTACAAGGCAAGGAAAACCAAGCATCATCATGAGAAGATCTCCAGTATTTGCTTTCTCAGGTTTAACAAGATGGGCCATGCTTTTTGTAGAGATGTACATCACAAGGCTAAGAAGAACAAACATGGGTGATGCATAGGTGATGATAAACATTAGAATGCCGGACAGGAACGTTGAGTGGTTTGATATGCCCTTGCAATGAGTAAAACATTAGGAAAGTTAGATGGTTAATGTTAATATTATCTAGTTTGCGAATAAACCTTCCATTTAAAAAGGGGAGAAGAAAAGCCTTGCACTCAAGCATATGTATTAAAAGTGAGCAAGTAAATAATTACATACAATGAAGGCACCAGCAACATCAATAGTAGCAAGTGTATTGCTATTTCCCAGAGAAAAATGACCAGCCATTCCCAAGTAGTAAAGTCCTGCAATCTAAGAGAACAAAATACTGACATTAGTGCAGAAAGCTGTTACTTATTTAAAGAGTTCTTAAAAGCAATTTCACATCTGTTCAACTTACTTCTATACCAATATAAGAATAGCGCACCAGCAACATCAATAGTAGCAAGTGTATTGCTATTTCCCAGAGAAAAATGACCAGCCATTCCCAAGTAGTAAAGTCCTGCAATCTAAGAGAACAAAATACTGACATTAGTGCAGAAAGCTGTTACTTATTTAAAGAGTTCTTAAAAGCAATTTCACATCTGTTCAACTTACTTCTATACCAATATAAGAATAGCTGCTTTCAAGAAAAAATATGAAGAGAACTATGTCAAGGATGTTATGATGCCCTCTGAGGAGAACATACATCTCTATGAACACCGTAATGACACAAGCAACCCTAAAATCTAACGAAATCAGGTCCATCATAACTATAAATGCCATAAAATGAATATACTAGTACTCTAAACTGAAACTAAAAATTCAAGGGCTTCTCTCCCTTAGCATGCTTCTTTCTAAATATCCCACTTCAAAAAGGTAAACGCGACTGCTATCTATTTATGGACCATTGCATGCAAAATACTAGCCTTTAACATGAATGTGGAAGTAAAAAAATCAGTCAGGAAAGTATCATCTAGCAACTGACCTCTACCCATTCTTTATGATGTGTTCCACTTCTAACAAAATAGAGCACGCTGGCCACTGTTTGCAAAAGAAGCAATAATATGGGTGTTGTGTTGATTGGCTGTTGAAGCAACAATTGCAGAAGACACCAACATAATATGTACGCCCATCCAATCACATATAAAGAATCTCTTAATTCCACCAATGGGAATTTCTCTTGAATGCTAGGGAAAAATGGAGGTGAAATGGTGTTATCAGCAGGTGAAATCTTAGAGGTTGAGAGAGGAATAAGCCATGGCAAGGCCACCACAGTCCCAATTGTCGTAGCACCAAGGATTGCATAGATTATTTGTACCAAAAATGTAGCACCATAATTAGTTGACGAAACTGTAAAATCCTGATATTTTGTGATATGCAGCAGAACCAACAATCCAGATATCAGAAAACTAAGTCTAATCATCTGAAAATATTTTCCTTTGGATTCTATTGAAAATAGAGCAAATAAACCTATGCTAATCACCAGAATGGCAGATATTAGTTGAAGTGGTTTCACATATTGACTACCAGCCTGCTCAAGCCATTTAGAAATGTCAGGAAGACTTGTCCAGTTTACACCACCTTGATGCCAGCCTCTCAAAATCCTTCCAGAGATAAGCAGCAGAAAGACGCAACATATTCTAAAGTAACCTTCTCCACTTTTTCCTTTTTGCAGGAGAAAAGAACTCTGCAAACCAACTGATGAAAGGGACTGTGCTGCTTTACGGAGTAAGAGAAGATAGAATGTGGATATAAAAAAATACCATATATAATGCTCCTCCTCTACCATAGAACTTGATGTCATACATGTAACAATGATTAAGACAACACTGACAATGAATGTCTCATCGGAAGACCAACCATTCATGCTATCATTTAAGTTCAAGGCTTGTTTCTTTCCTCCATGGTACATTTCTCTGAGCCGACAAAACATCAGGTTTGATAACATTACACTGGAGATAAACATTGTTGCCAGTCCAAGTGCAAGTAGCTTAACAGGTTTCTGCCCCCATATAATTGAAAAAGAAAAGAAAAAGAAAAGGAATATTGTTAAGGATAAAATGAAAAATAAATTAATATATTTGAAAAAAAGTAAATCTTTTGTTTATACTACACTGAATATCACCAATTAATTTTAGTTAGTTCAGAAACTTGTTGAAAAAGAATATACATACATAAGTTGTTCTTCGTGATAACCTGTCACTTGCAGATTTCAGAAACTTGTAATATGCTGCTGCAGCACTTCTGTAATCTTTGTTGCTAGAGGACCTACAAGTCATGAAACAAATGGAATTAGGAATATTTTAACAGGATATCTCTTCATCATTGGGATACTAAAATAGTCTTGACACGTAGAAAACGCACTCAAAGCCCCTCTTAGACTTCCAAGAGGTGTATAGAGCTGCCGCTTCCATATACAAGCAACAAAGCATGTTCTCTGTGGTATGATTGCACTCACTCAACCCTGAACTCTGGTGATCATAAAATGCATCACAGGGGAAATTTCTGCATGGTAAACCTGATAACTGAGCATGCAACAATCTGAGTAGCTGCCAAGCATTCAACTCCAGGGCCCTCAGATGTTGGTCCTCTGATTTCATCGAGAAGGAATGGAATTAGATAAGCACTTATATGGGCCGAAAAAGGAAGAGATTTATTTTCTACAGTGAAACATCTTTTAATTCCTCCCCATATCACTTAAGACGAAGATAACAACAATTTGGCCCAAACTCCACCAGTTCCAAATACACACATAGTTACAGTTTAGCCTCTTTTGCTTCAAACTATGCATAGATGTAAATGTGCAATTCCATGAGTCTTTAACGGTAGCAGCATCTTAAGGGTAGAGGAATAGAGCAATGCATATATGAAAAACATTATCACACTCGTAAAGAAGAAAACACGTCACTCTGTTATCATCTAGGAACAATCTCTAGAAGAATTTCATTTTCTCTATTAGAAAATAATGTCCACCATTTCCCCCATTTCCCCCATTTCATTCAAGTGAAATCAAGATATTATCATTACCACCTGGACAATTAGATACCCAACCCATAACCAAAAGCAAAGCTCTATCAACTAAGGAGAGTAGATATAAACCTTTTAGAGAATCAAAAGCTTCTCTAACAAGAATACCGACATTGTTTTTAGGGATTGGAACGCCAAATAAAAGAGCCAAGGTTGGTGGAAGGTCAATCTGCAAAAAAATAAAATATTATGTTCATTAGACAGCCTACTATAAACTAAAGTACAAAATATATAATAGCATAGTTAATCACTCTTGAACCCCATTTTTATATTTGGAAGTTCTTGATGCTGTTAAAGCACCTATGCACTCAGAATGGATGAGGAGTTTGTGATACGGCTCGAGGAAACAAATAGAACTACTAGAAACAATTAATAGCAACAATACAATGTTGTGAAGTTCCATTTGATTGCCTGGTTAATGACTGATGTATCGTCAACAGCATGTTTCCTCAGACCAATAAAAAGAGCTAAAGAGTCAGTTTCTTCATATGTAGAACCCCCGTGATTACCATTTTCTGTCATGCCATGATCACTTACTATCATCTACATGTGAAATAAAATGAAGATATATCAGTAAATCAAAAATAGAAGATGATTCAATATAATTCACAAAGGCAACAATAAATAGCTCTAAATATAGCCAAATACTTGCATCACATAAAAGAAAGCAACACGAAGCATGTGGTGGTTAGGGATAAATTAGCATCAACCGAATATCTCATATTTATTTATTATCATACAAGTTTTCACAGGCCAGAAGTGCATACATGGGCATGCATAAATGCTGGTGCAAAGAGATTGAAACAAGCCAAATGAACCCGAGACTTAGCCAAACCTGAATTTTCCCATGGATGGAAAAACATAGCTCTGCTTTTGGAAAGGTTACCTGACAATACTGCTCTAGAATAAGAAGCCTTGAAACATAGAGAGACCGAAGTCCATGTCATTTCACAACACAAGGTATAGATTTAATAAAGAAGTCTTGACTTATAGCAATAGTCAAGTTCTTTGATCCTATATATAGAAAGTTCTTCAAATCAAAGCTCTGAAATGGTCTATGTGAACAAGTGTTAGAACACCTAGTTTGACGATCAAGAGCTAATGATACCAGAATGGACCAATTTTCTATTCAAAGTTGATTAAGGATATTGGTAGTTTTCTAAACACTACATTCCTATCAGCAATTGCCTAGAAAAAGCTTGCACATCATTCCCAGTTCCAAAAATGTTGATGACCATTATGGACGATAACATACAACCATGCAAATAAGCACACACATTCCATTTAGCAATTAGATTGCAAAAACATCTGTATGCACTCCCTTCTGGCCTTTTCCCCTGTTACAAATTTGTAGGCTAAATCTTAGGATTAATATATATTGTATTTAATGTAGGATATTACATTTTTAATGTAGGAGATTAATTTACATATCATAGGACCTTTATACTTTTATGTATACCCATAATGTTGATGAATAAAGTAATGATTAAACATTCTGTTTCAAAATTCTACATGGTATCAGATGGATCTAAATCAATTTTAGGGTTTCAAAATTAGGGTTTTTTTGTGTTGTTTGGTTGTCAAAAAGAACTTACTGTCATTCTTCAAAGGACAACTTTTGGAGGCTCTTCTGTCGACACTGCTAGCACAGAGATGTCAACGGTGCGCCAATATTAACAATTGATCTAATATTAAAGGTGGGCCACTAGACTTATTATCAATTGGTTTAGGTAGGATACTTAACAATAAGCAATACGTCACTATCTGGTTTTTACGCTAAATAATAATCACAAGTATGTAGAAATTATTTTACGAAATAATAATCACAAGTTTGAATCCAGGTGCAACTGTCAAATAAAAACATAAGTAGTGGATCTAAATCAACGACTGAAATGTCAATATTACAATGTTAGATCATCCAATATACCCCTACATTTCAGGATGCTCCCGGATCATACATCAACTCATCATTAAGATTTTGAAAACGTAAGATGCAATTGTTTGGGTTCATCTATCAGTAATTCAAGAAGCATTAACTATAACAAACCAAAAGTGCTCGCCCTCGGCGATTTCCTTGAGATTGATTAATACTTGAATGGATCAGCTTCACCACCTCATCCATCTCCTTAAGCTTTGGGACCATCAACGAACTAAGAAAGATGAATAAACATGCAAGTGAAGTAAGAAAAATACAACAAAAATGTTACAAATCTTTTCCCACTATGGAAACCAATATGAATATCAAGTGACAAAATGGGGCAAAAATCACATAAATAAGTTTGTAAATTATACTAGCATCTTTGAGTTTCATCGTATTTAGGGATGGCAGCCAAGCAGTGCGAGAATTGCCTTACCCACCTCTACTCCACTCTTGAAGAGATGTTGGAAATATCCCCTTCCATGGAGTCAATTACATCCATACCCACTCCACACCGATCCACGCCACAATTGCACTTTTTTTACTAATAATTTTTAATTTAATATTATAGTAAAATATATTAGGAAGTAATTTATTCATAAACATTATTTCAATATATGTAGTTCTTTAGTATATATATGATCCTTTAAATTCTTGTATTTGTATCCTTTTAGTACGTGTATCTAGCATAGATATTAAAAAATTATAATTTCAAAAGGTGGGGCAAGGCAGCGTGAAGCAAGAATTTGCCAAAACAGCTCCGCTTCACTGCCTGCCTCCATGTTTTTTTAATAAAAGAACTTCTCCATTCAAGAGCAGATAGGCACGAAATTTTTGGATTGGATCGATGCCATCCCTTATGACATTGAACCGCAATCGTTATTTTTTTTTCTCAAAATGGTGATATAAGGATACTGCATTAACAATTACACCACATCCGACACAAGGCAAAATATTTTACACTTCAAACAAAGCATCCTGAAAACAGCATTAATAGGAAAAGCCAAGAGATTATCTGAATAATCCAATCTGTAGTGCTACAGGGAAAAAAGCAGACGAATAATATCCCCAAAAAGCAGAAAAACCTATACTGATGAAAGGCATAAATTGACCCAACACATGATTCTTATATTTACACTACTTAGTAAAGAAATCACCAAATATGTTGACAAGCTCACATTGTAGATTATGCAATGACCCATTTCTAGATTTTTAATTATATTGCTCTCAACTGTATGTACAATTACTTTATCCAGCCTTTTTGCATGACCTATAGATCCATAAGAACAATTTGGTCCAAGTCAAACGAAGAAGGGAACTTTGAAAAGCATTAGTCTGCATAGGGGAAAAACGAGAAAAAGGATATCTTTACCCATTTATCCCATAAAGAAAGAATCAAAGTAAAGAAACATCTTGATCATTACGTAATACACAACTTGTGCAAAAATGCTGCATTTTCATAATTGAATGTAGGTAGTGCCACAATACTGGTTATACATGTACAGCATAAAATGTCTAGTCATTTAGGTTTTAATAACTTGCGTATTTATGTGTGTGTCTATTGTAACAGACATTATTCCTTTGGGTTTTGATTAAATATCTAGTGTAGCAGCCAGGGATGAAAATGCATTGCAAGAACAAGTTGCCTCAGAATCCAGTTATAGACTAAATTGAGATTAAGAATGCAATTTAGCTAAAATGAAGATAAAGGAGTGATAATATAAAGCAATACCTGCTCCGCCCGCCAATATGTCCAACATGATCCAATCCAAGATAATGCAGTATCTGGAACTAGCACCAATTAAAATTTTGCTACAATGGAAGTGAAGTAAACCACCAAGAAAACCATAACTCAACATTAAATTTTCATCTTAGCTTTCAGAATCACCAAATATAATAATACTGCAATATTATACTAAGAAACTTTTGCATATCCAAATAGAAACTTCTAATTTCCATAATACAAAGAATTTATCGAGAGCATTTAACTTCAGCAGAGGAAACAAAAAAGATTGAAAACAAAGGTGCAATCAGGAAGATGCTTACGTCATAATAACATAATATATGAGAATCAAGGTGAGCAATATGGAAGTACAAATAGTTGAGAGAATACAAAAAGTAAGCAGGTCCAGCCAAACACAACAAATCCTATCAAACTAAAAAGAGAAAAATGATGCAAACAAGAAAACTCTCTCATTCTGCTCAATCTAGAGCCATTTCTTTTACTACATCATGAAGCATATTTTAGAACTGTCAATATAGAATGTATTGGAATTAATTTTTAGTTATTGTAGTATTCTCACGACATCATACTATTTCCATGTCACTCTTACTCATCACTACAGAATCACTGGTTTTCAACTATGAGCTTTGATCGTATTAAACGAGAAGAAGTAACTAGACCATTTGACAAGCACCTGATGAAATAAATGCTCACATCCGAAACAGAAAGAAATAAAGTGGAAAATAAAAGTTCCCATCTTAAGTCACTACAGTCCGTATTGAGCATCAAAGAAATGCAGCATAAATCTTCATGCAGAAAAAAAATAAAAATAAATTTACAGAGACCAACCTAACCATCATGTACTAAATAGCATGAATGGAAAGACCGGTAACGATGAACCTCTTAAAGGAACATAGAAACTAGAGAGTACTTAAGTTAAGGTGGCAACCTTAGCTGTCTTTTGTATTATGTTTCGCCAATTATAATAAATAAATAAATAAATAAAGTAAATAAACTGAGAGACAGAAATCACAATAACAGTATTTCAAGATATTTCCTTTTAGATCATTGAAAAACTTAAAAAAGAAAATGCTAACCAAAAGATTCCAGTCATCTTTCCTAAGTTCATCTCCCAAATGTCGTGAAACATTTTGATCCACTTGCACGGTATCCTTCACCTGTAACCGGAACAAATTACTTAAAAGTCAGGAATCAGTTTACATAATTTTTATGATAAAGATAAAAGACAGCATTCGAAGAATGAGAAATACATAGAAGCTGCTGACACCATCATGCCTTTTGAATAGCCCAGGAAACAACTTAATCCATGTTTCATCACCAAGCATCACCATTTTCCAACCAATCTTGAAAAACTGACCTGCCATACAAGTGAATAATGAAGCCCCTCAATAGATTCATTAAAAACAAAAAAATCATCAGTTACAGAACATCAAGGTATTTTAAATCTAACCAAGAAGATTGTCATCCATCATAGCCTGTGTATTAAAGTTGAACGCCACATCCAAGAATCCACCAATTGCACCAGAGACCATAGCCTACTATCACAAGTTAATGCTGTGAGGCTACAACCATATCCCAGAAAAAAACATACACCTTTATATATTTTTAAAAGGAGTTAGATTAGTTGTTCCCATATCAGTTGTAAACAAGAATGAAGGCATGACTTGTTCTAGTGAATGAAACATTTTGATCCAATGTATGTTGGTGAACAGTAGGATGGATGAATGTAACATGTTTTCCTTTAAGAACAAGAAAAGTTCGCACCTTTAATCGAGGCATTGTTACAGTTGGAGGGGCAGCTTTGGCATGGTATCCAATAGCTGATCCACTGGCTAGCAATGACTGGGTATAAGGCATTGCTTCCTTAAATTGTTTATTAGGGGGTTTCCCATTTTTTCCAAGAACGAATTCTGCTGGAAGACCATCTATAACCTACAGTAAACTAAACTCCTTGTAAACTATACCAAAAATAAACTCAAATTTACTCTTGAAAAACTAAACAAACAAACAAACTAATACTAAATTACCAATAAAATCAGTCGATCAAACCAAGGAGGAATCCCCGACAATTCCTAAATTAAAGAAAGAATAATCTTCAGAATTTCAAAACAATTGGAAAGGCACAGTTCATTTATTTTCATTCATAAACGACTACTAGAACGAACTTGATATAACGATTTGAGTTGATCGGGCGGCAATGTCGTGTCGCTTAAATTGCCAACGAAATCACATGTTGGCGGGTAAAAACTCTCCGAGCCACTGAAGACAAAGCAAAACATTAAAAAAAACAATTGCATTGTTTAGAATTGAGATCTAATTTCAAATTGAAAATGAGAGATCTTTCGTTTTCTAATGAAAAATGTTTACCTGGTGCCGGGAAGAGCCGGTTTTACGGGGAAAAAGCCGAAAAGGAAAAGGGAAAGGCCGATGATTTGAGTTATGACTCCAGTTATGGTGATTACAGATAGTTTAGTGCAGGTAAGAGGCGTCATTTTCTAAGGATTTTAAATTAGGAAGAGTTCAAAAACCCTAATTTCTTTGAATAAATTGAATGGAATTCAGAAACCGAAGGGGGGGATAGACAGATTTCCATGAGCTGAGCCTGAGAGCCAATGCATATTTGAATCACGAAGACTAAATCGAATAATTAAGGGTAAATATATAACTTGGTACACTAACTACTTCAAGATTCAATTGATACTAAACTTTATTTTTTGTCTAATTAAGTACATGAAGTACATGAACTCAGTTTTAATTCGGTACTTATGGTATTTTCTAAATTTGATATAGCTAGTGCTTATGGTTTTTTGTCTAATTAATTATTATATTTGAAAATAAAATGAGAAAATTATTTCTCTTTCTTCACTAATATTTCGAAAATAATGATTTAGTCATTGAAATTATCAATTACTAGGACAACATTTTTAACCGGCTTTAAATCTTTGAAGAAGACCCCAATCTCAAGGAAAACTATAAATTTAAAGTAGGGTCCTGCGTGGATTTTTTTCTCCTATTATCTCATGCATTCAATATCTAGAAGCATGAGAAACAACAAGAGTCAAATTTATACTATTCTTCTAATCTTCCTCCATTGGCACCCAACTACCACGTCCCAATAGGGTGAGCATTCGATCGAGTCGAGTGAAAAATTTTTGAGTTATTTGAATTGACGAGTCGTATTTTACAACTCGAACTTAACTTGAAATTTTTTCAAGTCGATTCGAGTTTAAGAAATTCAAGTCGAGTTATTAGAGTTTCTGTACTAATTTTATTATAATTATTTATAGTTGTTCCAATTTTTTTTTGACTTTATCTAATCATAGTATATATAAATTATTCTTTCATATTATAATGTTATTTAATATATCAAATACAATCTAAAATTATTAAATATATTCATAATATTATATTTTAAAGAAAGTATTTTAAATGTAAAATATTGATGAGAGTATAAATGAGTCGAGGAATTGATGAGAAGAAAGAATTTTAAAACAATTGTAGTCAAAAGATCAAATTGAGTATAATGCTAAGTTTAGGGACTAAATAAAAAAGATAGTATATCTTTAGTTAAAAAATAACAATTAAAGTTACGTAGGTATTCTATTGTGGTTTATGAGCATGTGGTTCAAATTTGATAAAAAAAATGACTTAAAATAAATCACAAATTGAAGGAATAAGGAGATTATGAAAAATTGAAGGATTAAACTGAAAAATAAAAAATTTGTTATAAAAAACAGGAACTTAAAGTACACATTTATTCTACTATGCTATAGGAGCATGTGGCTCCAATTTGGTAAAAAATGTGACTTAAAATAAATGGTGAATTGAAGAAATAGAGATTATGAAAAATTGAAGGACTAAATTGAAAAATAAAAAAAAAGTATTATAAAAACGAGGAATTGAAAGTACACATGTATTCTACTATGGTTTAGGAGCACGTGGTTCTTGGTAAAAAAAATAGACTTAAAATGAAGGAGGAATTGAAGAAATAATGAAGTCAATGACTAAATCATAAAATTGTCAAAGTACTAGGTCAAATTTTTGATTTTTCGAGTAACTTGAAAATTCAAAATTTCAACTCGATTCAAAATCGAAAACCGAATTTATAATTTAAGTTGACTCGAACAACTCAAATTTAAAAAAAAATCAATTTTTCGAGTCTAGTCGAGCTTTGCTCACCCCTACGTCCCAATCAGGTTTATACATTTAATAATAAATCGTTTAAATCTATATATATTATTCCAAATAATTTTTTAGAATATTCACTTTGTTCAAAAATCAAAATCATTACGGGATACTTAGATACAAAATTTTCAAATTATTTAATATTATATTGAAAAGTTAAATTTCATAGAAAATAAATTGAATGATTCAAAATATAATCAAGTAAAATCACATTTAATATAAAATATTTCATAGTTATTCAATATCATATTTAAAAAATTTATTTCTTTAAAAAATATATATAATATTTAATAAATATTTACTTGAGAAAATCTCATTCGACAGATCGAATTTGGACATTGAAATACGAAGTGTTAAATAAGCTCATTTACTTATATTTGTGACTTATCATTTACATGCTTTGTGACTCGTCCATACCCATCAACAAAATCCAAATTTCGCATATCAAATCTTATAGCATTCTTTTTTTAAAGGGTGTTTTGTATGTAATTAAATAGTGATAACATACAAAGACAACAGCAATGGTCGAGTCTTATCAAAAAATCTTCCTAATCCTAAATGAAGAAAAAAGAATACTCGGATTAAAGCCACAAGACAAGAAAAAATTTCGACAATCCCACAGTATTTAAAGGATATTGGCACGCCCTTAGAACTTCAAAGGCCTCGAACATGCGACCTTAGTCGCATCTTTAAAGAAAGCGGCTAAATCAGCCTAAAACAATCCAAGCAAATATTCTTAGATTAGCACGGCGGAAACAAAAGAACTTTGAAAGAGAAAGCCAACACAAGAACAAGACAAGAGTTTGAGAGAATGCTCTGTGATTTCTCAAAGTGAAGAAGATAGTACAAATGAGGATTATAGGCCTTAATTTATAGTAGAGGCTCCCCTCAATGAACGACTAAGATCTAAGTACATTGACGGTCCAGATCGAATACAATCCCCCAATCTAAGGAATCATAATTACAAAATCTCTCTAACTAAGGAAATTATAAAATGGTCTTGATAACTTGCCATATAAAGAATATTACAAAAAATATAGAAAGAATCAAGACAATTATGCATTAACCAAGTGATTCTCCTTCCATAATTGTGCTTAGCTCTTCATCTCCACGAAATAGGCCAATCTGAAAGGGTCTGGCAAGGCCCAAAATGCCCCCTAGGTTATCGTAGGCTCCTTCTTGCGTTGTGGCCTCAGTCATGTTCTCGCGGTCCGTGACATTCTCCCCTACCGGATCCAGTGATGCCTTCATCACTCGTTTGGAATGGAACTGGTCTATCTCAGTTATGAATTGCCAAAGTCCCTCAGCATGCCCCCAACTCCCTTCACTCTCAGGAATTCCCTTCCACAAAACAAAGTACTCATGCCTCGGGCGGTGTCTTGGTCGTCGAATTACTCTCTCGACTTGAATATGCGCAATCTCCTTATCATAGGAGATTTTCACTCCGACTGACGCTCGGTGTGACTTGCCTCGATCGGGATCCTCTTTATCATGGTTGTATGGTTTGAGCAAACTAAGATGGTCGAAAGCAAATCCAACTTTAGGCCATGGTGCCTACCCTCTTCACAACTTTGAACGAACTCTCGTATCTTCGTACAAGCCCTTTGTGCACCGTTAGGTTGCACAAGATTCTACTCAATTTGGCAAGGACTAGATCACCAACCTGGAAATCAAGTCCCTCATCTTTCGATCTGTCCATTTCTTGGTCGGCTTACCCATCTTGTGTAAACAAGCTCGGGAAAAGTCAAGGTGTTCTTGCCACTCCTTGGCAAATCCATGTGTTGCTAAACTATGTTGGGTGTCAACGGTTATTCGTACTTGGTAGCAACAGTGTTGGGTGTTAACGGTTGTTGCCTAATCACAATCTTGAATGGACTTTGGTTCGTTGCAAGTTGAAGGAAAACTGAGCCATATCTAACAACTTTGGCCAGTCACGTTGGGAAGGGGTAAAGGTTACAACAATCCCACCGGTCTTTTCATCTCGATCTTATCTTGTTGGCACACAAGATAAGTCTTCACATATGCTTGCACATCTTCCATCATATGGGACCAATAGTATTGCTCTGCAAGTAGTGCCAAAGTCCGATCAACTCCCGAATATTCCGCTCACTTGGAATTATGACATTCCTTCATAAGCTTCTTGCACAATTTCCCATACTAAGGCACGTAATGACGATGCCCACAAGTATACAACAAATCCCCCTCGATCCAAAACTTTCTGGTTCTCCCTTCCTTGGTGCCTTTGATCAAAGTCTTGGCCATAGGCTCGTGGGGAAAACCCTCCTTGATCTTATCGAGCAAAGGACCCACAATCTCAGTGTCATACCTCCGACTTAAGCCATCTACAACACAGTTCACCTTTTCGGGCTTATACTCTATAAAAAAGTCAAACTCGACAAGGAACTCTTGCCATCGAGCCTGCTTAGGAGAAAACTTCCTTTGGGTGAGAAAATAACTATTTGATATATTATCGGTATAAATAACAAACATGGACCCAAGAAAATAGTGTAGCCAAGTGTGCAAACAATGCACCACCGCGGTCATCTCCTTCCCATGAACCGAGTACATCCTCTCGGTCTCATTGAGCTTTCGACTTTCATATGTAACCGGATGTCCCTCTTGTATAAGGACCCCACCAATGGCAACATTGGATGCATCGACAAAAACAACAAATGGCTTGGTCTTCTTGATCTTCTCGAAAGCATTTTGGCACTTCGAACATAATCCCACACCTTATCCTTCTTGAGCAACTTGGTCAAAGGTGTGGCCATATTGGAATAACCTTTCATGAACCGTCGATAATAGTTGGCTAGTACCAAGAATGCTCTCAACTCGAACACCTTGTTGGGCGGCTTCCACTCATCAATAGCTCAAACCTTGTCCCCATCCATACGAAGCTTGCCTCTTCCGACAACATGCTAAATAAAAGGGAGCTCTTTTTGGGTGAATGAGCATTTATCCTCCTTGACATAGAGCTTATTCTCACGTAAGGCTTAGAACACCTTCCTCAAATGCTCAACATATTCCTTAAGAGTCTTACTATACACCATAATGTCATCAAGGTAAACTACAACGAAATGATCAATAAAGGGTTGTAGTACCTTATTCATCAATATGAAAAACGTGGCAGGGGCATTCGTGGGGAAAAAAGGCATCACCAAGAACTCGAACGAACCATAACACATTACACAAGCTGTCTTCGGTTCATCACCCTCGGCTATCCTGACTTGGTAATATTCGTACTACAAATCTAACTTGGTGAACCACCTTGCATTACCAAGTTGATCAAACAAGTCAACAATCAATGGGATCGGGTACTTGTTGTTCACAGTGAGCTTGTTCAAAGCCTTATAGTCGATGCACATCCTAAGAAAGACATCATGCTTCTTTTGGAACAACACTGGTGCACCAAAAGGTGCCTTAGACGGCCGGATATAC